GAGTCAATTGCAGGCTAGATTCTCGCAGCAAAACCCGTATCTCCAAAGCAATCATTCACCCAACCTACTTTGTACTCTACCTCGTACTCGGACAAAGGAACATTATCTCTGACCCCAGAAATTACCCACCGGACGTTGTGCATTTATGCCAAATGTCACAGTTTTTAATAGTTGGCAATTTGTTGCTGAGAATACCGTCAGACTTTCTTGCGCCAGTTGGTAGTCACAAGGCTGAGCTTGTTCATGTGTGCTGTTGTATACATGTTGGTGCCATGTGGGGACTAAATTGCTCACTTTCAGCCTTTGCGATCGCCTGGTTATGGTACATACGGTCCGCAGTTGGCGTTATCTGCAGATGGTGAGACATTGAGTGTGCATTCACGAAGTTCGTTGAGAGTTACGTCGAAGCGGCAACCAGAGCACGCGGGTGAGTTACCGACACTCTTTCTACTCTTAACAATTACCTATGAAAAAGCGGTCAAAGAACAGAGCGTGTCGGAGCTCCGTAAACCTGCTCTCGTCGAGATTGGGATCCTATCACTTACAGCTTACTCTTCCTGCAAGTTGTGGCAATACGAACAGTAACCCAGGGCGCCTAGTGAGGCTACTCCTGCTCGGCACCACAGCCTGATTCTATTACTTTTTAACACGTTCCGGACCGCGTGACACACATGGTGTGTCACGAATTTGTCTCTGTGCAGTGTTTTATTCGATCAATTTGACATGTCTTTCATGTTCTAATGTTGTCAAAACATGTTCCCAGTTACGGGAGGTCCCTTCATAAGCGGTTGAAAAAGGGCAGGCAGGGAATTTCCTATGAAACTCACTAAACATGAGGAAATGCGCCCAGTACGGCGGACCCAATGTGTTAAGCGAAGTGCTTGCACCATATAGATTCGATAAACATGGCTTGTTGTTTGGACTCGTTTCGCTTTTCTAGGGTCGCAGTTCGAGTTTTACTAGTTGTTGTTCTGTTTATTGCTCACATCTGGAAAAATTGAGTGCTTGTGAAATTGGGGGAAAAATGGGAAAGCTTCCATGGCAAAGTGACGCTCCAGCTGGTTTGGCTCTTTGCATTGTGTGGGGTGATGAGGGACTCCTTTTCTCTTCCTGAATCGGTCGGGTTGTGTCCGATATCCTAACCATTAAAGGGAATATAAGAAGCGTAAAATCATCTCCATCCATCCATCCATCCTTCCGATCACCTCCCACCTTGAGTCAAGGAACAGATGATTGCTAATTTCTAGTAAGGCCATGAGGACAATTGCTAGCAGAGAATGAACTATTGAGAAGGGGTCTGTGAGGGCTGCGTAATTGTCGGCCATTTCGATGAAACATTCGCAATTTTGCGCGCGCTTGCCAGCATAACGCGATCTACTCGTGAGAAGCAAGGAATATAATCGCAACAAAAGGAAAGCGGAATAATGAATTTCTTTGAAAAGTTGTCAAAGCAATATCCACTGGCCACGCAACATCCTGTTAGCTCTCCTTTGATTGGCTGCGTTGGTGGAGAAGATTTTCATCTTCAAAGAAATGTTCCGCTTCGATAAGAGATGGAGGGTGCTTTTTCTGTACACGGGGTATAGAATCGTTGCTGCGAAACCCATCCATGGGTCCTATCCCAGTGCTTCAAAGCAGGTTTTGTAACTACCACTGAAATTTCCACTATTCCGGCTGGTACCCTGCTTCGTAATACCTCTACGTCGCAAGGTCAGTCGATAAAGCATAAAAAATACTGATAATTTGCTGAAGGTCCTTGATGTACACTTCCGTATAGCCTAAGTGAAACAAAAAAACTTACAATTCTAGTCATGGAACTGGTTTTCTGTCGAACCGCTAGTGAACATAAATTCAATTAAAATAAGATAGTAATGAAATAATTGTCATGCTAGTAATAAGCTAAACGAGGGCGTAGGGGCATGTAATCCACTTATTGTTAGCTCAGTGCGCGTCTAATGTCGAACTGCGGATCGGCTCGCGTCAAGTCGACCATGCTCTTCATACCTTCGGAGCTGAGTTCCTCGTGCCGGACTCACATACCATGGTTGACATCGACATTGATATCACCTCTCCTTGCCGCCAAGTGTTATCGATAAGTCTCGGGCTGGACACCGGCTGCTCAACTGTAAATTGTATAACCGGTGTCGAATAAGCACAAAGACCGTCAAGCGGAAGGGTGGGAGGCGCCTGGCTCGTAGACAGCTAAAGCTTCCCTTGTATTCCGATTTTGGTAAGATATTTCGTCACTGTCTCTGCCCTGCTGCCGCTGCAGTGCTAGAATGTGGCCGTTTTTAATTAAGGGAGGTGATTCCAACAAGAGTCAAGGTGTGCGCTTCTTTACCTTGAACCTCCACGTTATTTATGCTATGTTGGAATGAACTCTCCTATTCACACCACCAGGCATTATCGATGTGCTTTCGCGCAAGGAGATGGAGATCTGAAATGGTTTTTATGTATTCGTGATTTGCATGAAATTATCCACCATATACATTTCATATTATGCTAACTCGAATTTCTGCCTAAACGTGAAATTTCTTACTGTCCTCGTCGCATTGGTGTAATGCATCACAACAACGATTCGTCACCACTGTAGATAGTTTTCCATATTTCTCATAGAATCGTTTCTTACTGGCACATTCTCGCTCTTTCCATGATGATCTCAGGGATCCTACCTTCGATAATGCCCCTTACCAGAACTATTCCGCCTTTTCCTTTCCTTGGTAAAATGAAGACCATATGGCGCGGTAGCAGGGTCTCAACATTGTCCCCAGTTTTTCTCACTGTTGATGCTGTGTGGTATGATCTGAGGCGGTGCTGCTGTAGTGGCAAGTGGCACGCTTACCGTGCGCGCAATCCGGAGTTCCCATCCCAGACCGACTGCTGCTCAGGCCAACGATGCCCTCCACACTCCAGAGACGACAAGTTGGTACTAGTTCCGTATGGGAGGATACGAACACTGGCTTGTACATCGGCTGACCCCGACAAGTAATTGTATAGACCACCTCCCAAAAGGGATTGATCCACTGCGGAAGTTTTATGCTCTAAGATGCATGGTGTTATTTAAACTAAGACCGGGGGGGGGGAACAATAATTTGCTATTGTTTCTCGATTCCTATAGAAGTCGGCATGCGTCTGACTTCTACTGAGAACCGTACACAAATGAAGGCATGTTTTGTCTGTTCTTCTCGGGACCACCTTCACAGTACCGGTCTGTTAATCCCAACATACAGTTTTGACGCTGACAGCCGCCTCCCGATGTGACTCTAGGTGGTAACAGCCTTTCATGGCAATGAGCAGCCCCCTCTCCAGCTTTTATCTCCTTTTTTGAGCAAATTTATTTCTTCAGCCGAAGTGGTTTTTTCCTCTACTGCTAATGCTCTCGGCAGTAATCGTGAACATCCTTCATTTTTCAGTCGAGTTTATGACCCATTTAGGTCTTCTGTGGTAGTTGTGATCGCTCTCTCAGGGTCCGAACCATTTCCCACCCTTTTGATTCTGGAATACGATTACGGTAACTTTACAATATATCACTCATGTCGCGAAATTTTCCAGCTTCGTCATTTGCTGGCTATCATTCACTGGACCGCAAGTCACATCTGGCTGACTACTACCGTGAGTCGTCACCGAATCGACTAGGAGTCTTCGATCGAACTTCAATGGCAGCGCTGATCAGCCCGCGTCGAATACCTCAACCCCCACCAGACAGTATGCAACGCCACAGCATAAACGGTAACTGCTGTAACAATCGAATAAGTTCTTTTTTTCGTGGCAGGACCCAAAATCCTCTACGTGTATCTTTCTATAATCGTTGTTCTGTGGGTTCTGTGTGGTGGTTGTCTTCGTGGTGTTGGCTTTCCGCATGCTTCTGCTTATTAGAATCGTAGCCAAAGGAGAGAAGTTGGGCACTGAGCTCTATTCTGAAACCACCGTCACCGGTCACCAACACAGTAGCCATTCAAGAGGCAAAGAGGCAGCAGCCAGGAGAAGTTTCTTTCCTGGAGCCTCCATACCTTTTATTTTGCGCATAGTTACTTAGTAACTAAGGAGGTGCCTGAACGGTAGCCCTTTATAAAGTCACGGCCTTCAGCTTCTCTCCTTGGGCTATGTCCAAACGTAGCGCTATTCTGCGTGCTCTTCAGCTTCGAGAGCCTCTCTAAATTCGTCTGGTATGTCGCGCTCGATGGTACTGCTCGAATCGGACCCCACTTCGCCGGCGCACCGAGCACGACGGGGCGCCAGTCCGCGTCATCAACAACGTCTACCGCTGTCCGTCGCTAGTCCTGTCAACAACAAGGGTATTTTCAGTTTTCCTTTCACACAACCGCACATTACACAAATGGTTTTCCTTAACTTTCCCAACTTTCCTCTTCGTTTCATGTTGTACTTCTATTCTGATGGGAGGTTTTTAGTTTCTGTCATACTATAGATTGCGTTTTTCTTTTGGCTTTTCCATGATTTCTTCCTAAAACTGTCGAGCTAGCGTAGAACTGCTTTCGCAGGCCGGCCAAGATTTTACCTCGCGGGAAAGGTCAAATGGTACCAGATTCGCTTTAATTTTTATCAATTCATCTGACCATTGCTCCATGCGGCTCCCTTGGAAGAAGAGCTTTGACTGTCGCAGGTGGTTTTTTGCTCTCGAGTATTAGCATACTGGGGACACGCTACTACTTTCCATCCGAAATTCTCTTTTACGACACGATCTCCTTTTCCCCATCCCAGCTACCGTCATACCGGATCCTGCCAAACCCGGCCACTTTCCTGAAATTTTCCCTTCTTTCCTATAGCGAGCGGGGAAGAGGTAGCCCCATCCACGGTCAGCTATTTGGCATGGAGCAGTGTAGTAGGTCTGCAGAGCTGGGACAGGGGAACTGGGAGAGGGGATGGTTTGCAGAAGGAGTGCAACACTGGGGAAATCCGCAAGAACCCAAGAAGGGAGAAATTTTTTTCGCGGCTAAAAGAATTATTTCCAATGCCTGGTACACGCGCGACAGCACTGCCTAACAATTAGATGCGGCCCCTGATTTGACCCTTCCTACAACCTGGTTCACTTCTTATAGATACGTTGAGAGGGAAAAAGTGCAGTGACAAGTGGCACGCTGCACGCTTTCACGCGCGCGTCCTGGGGATCATAGGATCGGCTTCCGCCCAGGCCAACCAAGATTTCCTTGCGGGAAAGGTCAAATGGTACCAGATTCATGTGGGTGAAAAAGAACACTGGCTTGTCATGGCTGGCAACCACAGGTCATTATATATACCTTATCATTTTCATAAGCTTTTACGATTCTAAAGCTTGCCGCATCCCAGAAAGGGATCGGTCAACGGCGGAGACTTCATCCTTCATTAATCCTTTATCTGTTGCCTAATAACTAACAACCTTTGCTTGTAGAGGGATTATAAGTTATTCAGTTCTTTGGTTCAAACTTCCACTTTTCTTGTTCCTCAACCCCTCATTGTCAATGAAACTCCATTTACTTTGTAGTAGCTTGTGGACCCTATAAGTGCTTCTAATTATAGTTCTCAATTATAGTTTTTTAGCCATGTGACTTCCTTTACAACCAATGTTTAGGATCTTTGTCTGCTCGAGGGCCACAGAACTCGGAGCGAATTTACGCAAACTTGCGTGATGGCATCCATCTGCACCGACTTGCTGACGAATGCCAGCTAAACCATGGACTAGCGAAGAGCGAAGGTAAGTACCGGCCTGCTCTCAGGGGCTCCTTTGTCTTTATTATCCAAAATAAGCACTTTTTCTGCACCAACCTGTTCTCCTTTCAGGTGCGGACGTCCTGGGCTCTCAGAACTCCCTCGCAAGTGCGGCCTGTAGCTCGGTTAGTGAAAGTATTCTTCCGGTGTCCTTTCCTTAGTTTGATAAGTATTTAGTATAGTCGACTGCAGAGATTTGGCAAATCCTCTTTCATAGTTTCTTTAACTCGTAGGAAGTTCTTTCTGGAGTGTATGTTTTCGTTGCTTATTTATTGCTACTTTCAGCTGAACGAAAGATACGAGGCTGACATTCGTAAGATGGCTCGCGACCTAGAAGGCTATCGTCACACAATCAGCAAGCTGACGCGAAAACAGGAGGACTACTCGCACGTAATGGAGATGTTCCAGAGTAAACTGTCACAACTGAGTAAACAAATCGACAAATCTCTTCTCAAGGTAAAAATTTCGTCCGATTCTCGTAGTTGGGGCTCAACTTAACAGCACAGCTTACTGCCTTGTGGAGCGGAGTTTCTGTTAAAATACCGCACCCTCCTCATGCCTCGAATTACAATCCTCCTCTGCCTCGATTACCATCTTTTTACGTTTTCCTAACTTCCCGCCACCTACTTCTTACACTTTTGCGGCAGTTTGTTTCGAAAGCTCAAAATTCCCTCTTTTTCTCGCCGCCAAGCACGTCGCTCGAAAGGTGAGTGAGGGCAGTAGCGCAAACAGGCAAACAAGAGAGAGTCAGCCATCGAGCTACATCTTTCCGCGGAGGCAAGTACGACTCCCCACGGCGCTTGAGCATCCCATTCTCGCATTAAGGGTTAGGTATTTCAAAAATCTCTTTCGGCACGAAATTCGACTAGGTGGGGGGCACTCTCGCTTTCGGCTCACATCGGTCATCGCCGATGCCTCCTGTAGAGACCCTGCAAACTCCTGTGAGGCTGTGCAGTGCAGAGTAGCACGAGCTCCGTGAACACCGTTACAAGAGTATAAAGGTCTCCCCATGGTTAGACGTGCGAGTCCAACAGGGCACTGGAAGGGCAACTAGCGAAAGAGCAAAATGCTCCTCCCCCTCACCCCTCAAAGGGAACAGCACTGACTTTCCATGCAACACCATAACTGGAAGAAATACAATTAATTCCATTCCTCTGCTTGGTATTCTAATAATCGAATGGAGTTATTTTCGTTGCTCAAGCAAGTTACTCCTCGCAGTTTCTTACTTCTTACTCACAGCCGTACAAACTTTTTTTACTTCGTTCACTCCAGCGGATGTGGACTAAAACACATTTAATTTGTTCCGAACCTTCTAGAGTCTCGCGCACATTCCTGCACAACGCGGTCATAAGTGGCAGCACTGCCAAATGGTGATTGATTCCTTAGCAGGCCCGTCAGTCATTTGTCGTACAGTAACGTATGCGCAAATATCCTCATGCAAATCAGTTTACGACCGCTTCCGCTCCCCGGGACGGAGTTTGGCACAAAAAGGATCCCTCAGACCCAGATCTAGTCGCCATGCTACATGAGTTTTAGCGCAGTCCTAAGAGAGAAATGTGAAATGGGTTTTACGATCTAAAGCATTTCTCGAGAGAAAAGCATGGGTTACGTTAGAATACCGGCGATGCATAATTCATTTCAAGGTTTTCTATAGTTTGTGTCGCCTCAGATCTGATGCCTAGTTGAAACATTAGACGCCGTTCAGCCGAAGTTGCCTTTGCCAACCTTTTGCACGTCAGTTTTTCTTTTGATACTTAGTCCCTTCGATATCCTGGTCCTGACCCTTCCTTTCTACATTAGGTTTTTTGGGTAAGTACCAGTTATGTTTCCAAAGGGAATGTCAACATCACAGTTCGTTGCCCATGAAGTTATGCATCTACTTAGTAGTTAGAACCTCATGATGACCGGCGCATGCACTCCCAAAGGGTCATCGTTATCTTCAAGAAATCTTGACTGACAGATCTCCATATGCTGTGTAGTACTGGAGTGCATTTGCGCTATCCTTTGGCTACAATATGCCTTCCTTGCATCTTTTACTGACATCAAATGAGGTTGGTTAATACAGAATTAATGACGCACATGTAGATTTTAGTCCCAATTTTCATTCTTACCCTCTCTTAGAGTATAACAACACCATAATAGGTCTCACCTTTGACGCCGAATTCATTTTTGCAATCTTCTAAACAAACCCAAATATACCCCTTTTCTTGAGTGTGCTCGTCGGCCACAAAATTTCATTTTTTCATGGAGTTTTTTTTTCTTGAAGAGCCTTTGGGATCTTAACGATTTCAGCCCGACGACTTGAACAAACTCCGGCAGGAAATTGAACAGTTACGGTTGGTCAGTGGCAGATTGGCACAGGGAGGTGACGCAAAGAAAAGCATTGTGAGTTCTTTTTCCCTTCGTAGGCGCAGTTTTCCAGTTCCGCCATAGTTGTGGTAGTTCCGCCATAGTTTGTGCTCAGAAATCTTCACAAAGTTACCATTGAGCCTCCCTGTGTAAACTCAGAGAGACTCAATGCGTAAAGCCCCAGCAAGTACTCAAACCTGTGCTTCGCGCTTATTCTATACCGGTGTCGGCTGCCTATCTCATCACCTTGTTATGGGGGTGGCCGCTGATTAGCTATCTCTGATGTGAGGACACGTAACTCATGCTGAGCCCGGTCCACAGTGGGGCGGGTCATGCGCCAGAGATCACCCGTAATAACTACAAAAATTCGCAATTCGGTTGTAAAACAGCCTGAAATCCGAGAACAAGGGCGTAGAGGTCAGCAGTTTGGGAAAGGATGAAGCGGGCGAGGCATATCCACAAAGAACGAGGCGTTTGCTCGGTGAGCGCTGCTTGCTACAAAAATCCACAACTCGGTCCTGATAAAGATCGGAAGTCGGAGAACAATTTGGAGGAAAGAGGAATACCTAAGGAGAGTTGAGCGTGTCTGAGAATTGCGATGACCAGCCCAGAAGCGGGCAGAGAAGATCTTCTAGTCCATGAAATCACACTAGTCCGATCAGCATAAGGCCTTTTTTTAGTCCTGGTGCACGATTCTCCCGCAGTACTGCATTTCGAATTACTAATGTGATCGTGTTCCAAAAGAAAATACTCGTTGCAGGAAGGAGCCGGTGAGCTTCTCCGTCAACCATCGCTCGAGTCTGTAGCTTCGCTTGCTAGTCACAGATCCTCAATGTCATCTTCGAGTAAGTCGAGCCGAACCGACAAAAGCAGCCTGAACAGCTTTGGCAAATCAAAGAAGAGCTGGGTATGTCAAGAATAGTTTAAAGATTCTCCAGTGAAAATGAACAGTTGATCAACAGTTCGTACATGCACGTAATGGCAAACATTTCGTTGCCAGTCCAGACCCGTCAGAAAAAATAGGTCTAGCAAGGAAATTAAGAGGGTAGTGAGTGAATGAACTCTTGAAGTTAATTTACAATTGGGTGCATCGAGCTTCAGCCTCAACTCATATTCTCACGGCGGGTTGTCAGTTAACGTTCTCCCCATCCTCCCACACAGGTCATGATTCCGAGCTCATGAGAGGAAAGAACAGAAGTGATGAATCACATGAGGTCTACGGCGCCAGTGAAGAAGTCGTATTTCCCTCCAGTGAGGGAATCACTTGCGCTCCGAGGAGTAGCCGTTTGCAAATCTGTGGTACTATAGCCTGACTACCATGTTTATCCTTTCTAAATGTTCTTGTAGTTGAACGGTCAGTTTTGCTTCTCTAACTTCTACGTTAATGAAAAATACTTTTTTTAGACTAATGGTGTCGATGTACAGGTAAATTACTTTGTAGTGAAGTGTTAGTGATGTGTCGATTGCTCAAAGTTTCTAAAGCTGCTGGTCGATTGCTTCCTTATAGTTACTTCTCCAATGTTTCACGTTCAGATTCGCTCGTCCTTAACCAAGGCGTTTCTCAAAGAAGAAGACAAAAATGCGTGGGATGTCGGATACTGAGAGCTCACCGCATCACGCGCTCAACACTATAAGTGGATCGTCATCCAGGTATTATTTTTTCAATGTTATCTTCAAAACTGTACTCTCCATGCCGGAGATCGTGACGACATGGCTGCATTTTCCATTTCAGCATTATATAAAGTGCGCTTTTGATAGGGTATTTCCACTTGAAATAACTATCCTCCTCTCCTGTGCTGGGAAAGACTTCACTACTATGGTCTCAAAATGGTAATAATACTCTTGTATCGCTGTCGCCACCACATTTCGGATGATGTATGTAGTCACGCCTTCCCCATCTCAGGAGATATAGGGTGTTGGCACACTATACTGAGCATCACACTTACGATGTTACATAGTGAAGCATCGTTATAGCCTTGTTCGCTGCTGATACTGGTAAGGGAGGTGTCAAGGGGGAGGGAAGGGGGGGGGGTTGGGCATCAGCCCATTCTCTACCCAGGGCACATCGTTGTTGAGCACTCCCCAACAAAGGGGTCGTATTTGGCCGCTGGGAGAGGGTGACTGGGTGGTCAGTCATTAACGAGCAGGGCCTCCCCGCGCGCGGATTTGAAGACTACAGTTTGTAGATTGGAGCCACAGCATCCTGCGGTGTAGACACAGCCATTCTCTCTACCAGGAATTTCCGAAACGAATTGAGGATCCCTAACTCGCTCAGTTAACACGGCAGTGGTAGAAAATAATAAGAATGGTTGAAAATTTTTCACTTTTCACTTGTTTCAAATCGGGGCCTTGTCTTTTTCCATTTTAGCTGAAGTATTACCATTAGTGTTTTTGTATTAGACTACCAGAGTTCATCTAAACTAAATTCTTGTAAACAGAGGAAAATTTTGCTGGGATCCTGTCTTGTGAACCTAAGGAATGTTTGGAGTTTCACTCGTTCAGAATTCTTGGCTGGGTGACGTTCAGTGCTGGAAGGTGCTCAGAAGCCAGGGGAATTTTTAGCTTGGCAGTGGTTTTCTTTCGCATAGGTGTTGGAAGAAAATGCAAATAAAGAGGCACGAAAAAACGATTAAGGGGTCGTATCGATTCACCTTTTAAGAGGGAGGTCGTACGGACTCGACAAAATCCCCAACCAATGATGTGCCCTGTTTCCACCTGTTGTTCTCGCTTACCCTCTTCGACGATCGGTAGAGGACGAACTGGCTCCGCAGCAGATCCATCCCCTCAACTCCCTAAACATCCGCAGCGAAAAAGACGGT